GGTACATGTAAATTCGGATAGACACAACATCGGGCATAGCACTATTTGTTGGCCTTCTGTTTTTTTTATTATTTTGGTTGGGTTTTACCTCGTACACACAAACACGGAAGTGACGGTCATATGGGTGACTTCCAGCTTAACTTGTGTGGCCTAATCTGATTATTATTTAAGGCGCAAACAGCACCTGAGTAGATCCCCTGACATTCCGTCAGCTAGCTGGATAGCTTTCTCACATGAAAGAATCCAAAGTCCCTATCGGGGTTCAAACCCACAGCAGTAAAAGGGGAAAGTAATTTGAAGTCAACAACTTTAACAATGTGGCCAGGGTTGCCCCTTGGCCTGCTGTAATACTGTCTTCAGTGGACTTGTCCAGTTTTCGGAATTGTCCCTAATTAACTTTGGGAATATCAAGAAGAAGATCAAGAAATAGAACCGACAATGGTGAGGGATAAGTGATTCTAAGTGAACAAGCTTAACCAATTGGCCATCATACGGCAACTACTTATATCACACATTTTAAGCTTTTCAAAAGTAATCAAGTTGCTATGTAAAATAAAATATGCCAACTTTTCAACAAGACACAATTATATTTTATGAAAAGAGAGTGTCTGCAAGTGAAAACATATGTTTACTTTCATTTACTTACACTTCAAGAAGAGTTGACTACAGGTCTGCAGTTAAATCCTACTTTATTTCATATATATTACTGCAGTTTTGCGTTCAACCCTCAACTTGTTTAATTTGAAGTTCTTGCAATGGTCACTGCCCATAATGTAAAATAGTTTTCCGCTGTCTCACACTTGCCCTTTCATGTCTAGGATTTTGTATTCACCGTCTTTGAATTGCTTGCCCCAGCTGATAACAAGTGCCCTGCTGGTCGATTATTTTTTATATATTTATCTGGCTTAAAAAGTATTGCCCTTCAAAATGTAACTATCGCACAAATTTCCAATATCAATATATAACAGACGTCATACTTCTACATTTAAAGCTATGACTACTGCTGTTTAAAACTGAATTATTTGGCTATTTAAGGTCTGAGTGACATAAAGTTCGGACATTATGCCACTTAAATCTGGTGAAACGTTTTGGTGGACTATATGGAAAAACAGACATCAAACTATGAAAAAAACTGGAAGTACAACTTAGCTTCAAAAAACTTATTTTTGATGTGCTGCACCGCATGTGTGTTACCATGATAAATCAATACCAAAGAGAACATGTGTTTAGCAAATAATATAATATACTAATTCTAAAATTTTATGCCACGTGTTATCATCACCATACATATGAAAATATTTGATATTTAAGGGAATATGAATATGCTGGACTCTGCATTGGACAACCCTGGTAACATTTAACCTGCCTAAGTTTCAGCAAAATAGGGCCTTATAATTGTGAGCTTTCAATATTCATAATCAAATGCTTACTAGAACGAGCATTGGCTGGAATACAGATAATCTGTCACAGTGCACCTTGCGCAACTGTATAAATGTCATGAAATTTTTTTTTTTATTTCAATAACTATTATATACACTATATAAGCATTGATCTGTAAGTTGTTTTCAACCTAAACTTTTGCAAACAAAAACCCAAACAACAATAGCAAAAAAAAATTTATATTGTCTCTCAGAACTGCTTGTTGACTGCACAGGGGAGATAACAGACGTTTTTAAAACATTTGTTAAACTTCAAGATTTATTTCCCTTATTTGCAAAACAATCCCCCAAAAAATTTTCAAATATTGACTGACTGACACATGCATATTTGTTTCAACTGCATATATATAATGCGAGCTCAAAATAAAATATGGTGGCACCGCCAAGTGGTAAACATGTCAGACTAATAATCTAAGGATTGCTTGCTGCATATGTTCAAACCTTATCAAGGGTAAGCCATTGTTTCTGTGAGCAAAAGTCTTTAATAATTGCTTAGTACTGAAAAAAACAAATTTGATGACGTTTATGTTTCATAAGTGTATAGCTTCCAACATAATCAAACTCAAATATATTTTATAAACTGAAATATGAATTCTAACAAGAGCCATGTCAACATGGCCATCCCCCGCCGAATGTGTTTGCTCATTGGAAGAATGTATATGTAGTAGAGCAGAATAATTCCATTTTAAGAGGTCTTTTGGTAATGAAAACTGATGGCTATAGTGATTACAGATTTGAAACCTATGTGAATACTGATGACTGAAAATAACAAAGGGCAATAACTGAAAAATAATGCAGGGTAGGTTATCATTCTTGTGTGCTGCATCCCTTCTCAGTAAAATATATCCACCTATGAAGTTTCAAGTTGATACCTCAAATACTTTTTGAGAAAAAAATTGAATTGAAAAATTAAGTATGAAAAATAACAAAGGGCAATAACTCAAAAATTATAAAAGGTAGAGTTATCATTCTTGTGCAGTGCACACCTCCTGAGTGAGATCTATGCACCTATGAAGTTTCATTTTGATATCTCAAAGGCTTTTTGAGTTATGCTCTAGACAAAAATTAATTTTGTAAAAAATAACAAAGGGCAATAACTCAAAAATAATGCAGGGTAGAGTTATCATTCTTAAGCACTGCATTCCTCCTCAATGAGATCCATCCACCTTTGAAGTTTAAAGTTGATACCTCAAATACTTTTTAAGATAAGCTCTGGACAAAATAGCATGAAAAAAAACAAAGGGCAATAACTCAAAAATTGTATAGGGAAGAGTTATCATTCTTGCGCACAACATTCCTCCTCAATAAGATCTATCCACCTATGACATTTCATGTTGATATCTCAAACACTTTTTGAGTTATGCTCCACTCAGGTGAAAATTAGGTATGAAAAATAACAAAGGGCAATAACTCAAAAATTATGAAAGGTAGAGTTATCATTCTTGTGCACTGCACACCTCCTGAGTGAGATCTATGCACCTATGAAGTTTCATGTTAATATCTCATAGGCTTTTGGAGTTATGCTCTGGACAAAAATCAATTTTGAAAAATAACAAAGGGCAATAACTCAAAAATCATGCAAGGTAGAGTTATCATTCTTGTGCACTGCACTCCTCCTCAATGAGGTCTATCCACCTATGAAGTTTCAAGTTGATAACTCAAATACTTTTAGAGATATGCTCCGGACAAAAATGTCGGACGGAAGGACGGACGGACGGAAGGTCGGACGGACGGACGGAGACTATTTCTATATCCTCCGCCGAAAATTTTCGGCGGGGGATAACAAGCTTGCTTGTATCTCTATAAAAATATTGAGAATAACTATATTTCTGCTTATTTTCAAGTGTTAGTTACACCAAAACATCCTTTGAAACAGTTGGATATACATTATGTATGGTAACCAAGAGCTTTTTAAGATTTTGGTATAGAAAAAACAAAGTACAATAAATCATCTTTATCATATACAAAATTTATTATTTCTCCTACCATTAAAACATAAATACAAAATTTATTATTTCTCCTATCATTAAAACATAAATACAAAATTTATTATTTCTCCTATCTTAAAACATTATTATGGCTGTTTAGAGTATTTTGACATAAACTGTTAACAAAAACAAGGTATAATCACTATAGTTCATGTACTTATATTAGATATATTATCTTCCTAACTTACAATTCTAACACAATTCAAACTATTCCCCCATCAAGTGCATTATTACTTGCACAAAAACGAATGCTTAAACGCCATATGCTGTCAAATATGACGTTGATAAACCAAATGACATCAGGAATATTACTTCTACGCCTAATGTAGTTTTAGTTGTAGCCATATTTTTATCAATTCTCTTTTTTATTAGCATGTTGGAATGGAAAAAGATTTAGATATTTTTTGTTCTTACATTGTAATATAATTATACATATATCATCATATTATCCTTCAAATGCTTTGTAATTAATCATTTTCGTGATTATATTCCTACGCATTTGAACTCAAATCGGGCATTATTCTAAAACAATGCACTCAAAATTGATATCTTATTCCTAAGTAAACATTCATAACATTAAAGCACATCTGTTAAAAAATTCATAATGAAGTATTCAAAATATAAAAGAATGAGGAGAAATTTAAGGTAATTTTAATCATAATTACTATTTTCAATATTTTGATGAATTTTATGTCAAATAGAGGGCGTAAAGCTCGGACAGTTAGTTTTAAGCTTTACTAGATTAAAAGGCATACAGATGTAACTGGCAAAGTGATACTATGATAATATAAATATTAAAACCTGTATAAATTTTTGCAACAACAACAAAATTACCTTAACAAATTGCGACTTAACTATTAAACATACATTCAATTTTGGTATATCGATATTCATGAAATATTATTTTTTAACATATAATCTTTGAAACACTACAAACAGCCAAGTCCTTGGAAAAGGACCCCTAGATGCCTTTTCATCAGTTCAGATGCCTTTCCTATGCATTATTTCAGATGTAATATGACATCCAGGTAGAACTACCATCCCTCTGATGCCAGGTTCAATAGTTTCTTCACATGATAAAAAGTTCATCTTCACAATATTTTTATCTATCATTCCGAAAATATGCCAATCAAAATTAAATATTCAAATAATAAGAGTTATAATATTTATCTCAAAAACTTTTTTTATATCTCTTTGGAAAACATGTTACAAAAAGAACACAAAGTAAACAAAATGGCAAGCTTTCTTTGTAAACAATTTCATAAAACTGCTTATGATCTTTAAAAGCTAAAATCCACTAATAACTTACGGCTTTGTTACCAGAATGAGTGCCATGCCAAATAACAGTGATAATGTTTTGTATCTGGCTCTATACTGGAGATAAAGGTTTTAGTCATTTTCACCCAGGCCTAGATTTCTATGATTTAACCCTTAACCTGCCAGAACTGAAGCTGATTAGCACCTGTACCTTTGTGCAGTGTGACCTCGGCAGGCCAGCTTGTATATGCGTGCAGTCTGACCAGGCTCTATGGTGTTGGAAGAGCTCATTTTTTTTTTTGGTATTTTGATACCAATATTGATACCCATATCCCTTATAGTTTTAATTGACTGTTCCATTGTCAAATCAGAATAAATCCAATGAATATTAATTTTACTTGCATTATGGCATAATAAATTCACAGTTTATCATTCAAATGCTTTGTAATTTCACTCAGGCCTAACTGCTTTTGTGATTATATTACTGTGCATTTGAACTTGAACCGTTAATTAATCTACAACAATGCACTTAAAATTGATATCATTATCTGCTTCCTAAATGAACTGTAAAGCCTTTATTCCATTCATTGGACTTCAGTCTAAAAGAGGCCCGCCCTTTCAAAACATGTTCATTCAATTTTTTACATTACAATAAAAATTATTATTGATACTTGTATATTTTGATTTAACTGTGTGTCAATAATTCATTAACAATTTAAGAATACAAATTTACTTTGCAACATCAAATTTCTCAACTTTTCAAGTTTTCAGTTCAACAACATCATCATATGAACACAAAATATTTTTTTTATACATAATTATACAAATAGATTACACTATACATATACACCTTTTAAATACACAAAACAAATGGTTAAAATTCATAGTCACAGTTATTTTTGCACATTATATTTCGCTAACATTACATTATCAACAGTTCCCCTAGGGTTCTGTCAGATCTTTCATTGAGTCACAAATCACAAAATTCTAGCACTAATAAAAGGTATCACATCTGTGACATTCATGGACTGTGATATTTTGTGACATCAATAATTGTGATATTCATGAACTGTGACATTTAGTGACATCAATAATTGTGACATTCCTGAACTGTGACACTTTATGACATTTATGAATATTTGACATGGTTTGATGTCACTTTGCTTTGCCCACAGTTTTAATGCCGCTTAGAAAGAGGCTAAGGATTTATAAATATAATATAAAAGTAAGTAGATGTCTTGTAGATTTGATAAAAGTGCACAAGTCTTCTCTCACGTTTTGATCCATTTTGACAATGTCAGAAAAATTTGAGGTTTTGAAAGCATTTCTGAAAATAAAAATAAAAACTGAAAATAATCTTTTTGACCAATATGAGGCGCCAAAAGTCAGGGGCTGCAAAATCAATTGTCTGTATTGCCCAGGTTATCCCACAGCCAGTACAGACAAGTTGAAATTTTCAGAATTCACAATATAATTATTGTATAGATGAGTTAAGAAATGCTTCAGATAGATAAAAACTGACAAGTCAAAATCAGATTTTGCCGTCCCTGCCAAGTGAATTTTTTTAGAATGATTTTCCCAATGGGATAATATATCCCATACTCATTGAAGAAAAACAATGCTCTTCTCATCTATTGATGGTTTTTATTGACTTATACACAAGTTTGAACCAGTATCCTCCGATTCTTTACAGTCTGTAACAAGTGTTCCTGAATTCTAAACCAATCATATAAAGGTTTACAACAAATTTCTGAAAATTTCTCTGCACAATGTTTTTCGTTCGGGTATTAAGTCGAACCAACACTGCTAAGGACATATTTGACTATTGAGCTATTTTTGTGAGGGGATACCTCAGGAGCCCCTCCGTGTATTATTATTTGGTATAAGTGCGTACCATAGTAATCATAGTAACACTGCTGACCTTCTGTTAGCTCGCTTGATAGCTACCTCACATGAAATAATCTATAGACCCAGGAGTGATTGAAACCAGCTGGGAAATGCAAGTTGTTCAAAAACCCAATAACACTCAACAATTGAGGTCCATTCCACACATAAATCAGTGGTAAAGAACTTACTGCTTTACATAAATTTTCTAAAATCTTTTAATTTCATTCAAACAAGTTCCTCATAGATTCAGGATATCTAGGCCTTACATTCTCCAAACTGCAAATTTTAGTATACGTCATTAAATGAATTCATGGTAAATTGAAGCCCTTTAAAGTAAAAATAACTGCAGCAACAAAACTGCTATTATTTTCACTCTCTTGCACCTTTACTGATTAAAACTTTACAATAATAGTTCAAAAAGTGTTATTTATATCAAAAGATACAATATAAAAAGAAAAATGTTTTAATATCAAATTTGGTAAAAGTGAAACTTTGAAATAAACTTACTATTTTCACTGATATCCTTGTGGATAATTGCCAGCAGGTCGAGGGTAGCCACCAGCGTATCTAGGGCCCTGACTTGCGTATGGATTACCTGGGCCCGGGGGTCCTTGAACTGGTGCAGCAGCCCCGGCACCTGGCTGGGCTCCTGGCTGTTGGTATCCATATGGGCCCGCCTGCGGAACTTGCTGTTGTTGTGGACTAGGCCCTTGGGGTCCCTGAAAAATGGCCATTAAAAATAAGTGAAATATATTTTCATATGTAACATATACATGTCTTTTAAGGGCTAGGACAATCAATTACCAAATTCTGCTTTGTTAAGATAAACAATTATATCAAGTTTTTATGTTGATACCTTTCATAGTTTTAAAATCACCTTACTTAAAAAAGGCAATTTTGACAAAAATTCTTAATTAAAAAGGGGCATAACTCCAAAAACATCTTGTCATGATAAACAAGTACTCCCAAGTTTTTATAAAAGGCTAAATTGAACTTTTTGCACGTCAATGACAATGCACCAATCAATAATAATATCTTAACTTTTTCTTCTAAACAGATGAGCTAAGTAATAGAAAGCATCGAAACACGAGACTATCTGATTTGTATGAAGGGGCATAGCCCCAGAGTATAAATCAGATGGCTAAGTGTTTTGATGTTCTTTCTCTTTTGTATCATAGATAAAAATAAAAACATGTTCCCTGTTGTCACATTATGAACACCCAGAAAAAAGTAACCAATGAACGTGCATTTGAATATGACGTTAATATCGCTATCCCCTTCTCTGCCGTCACAATAAGTAAACCCCAGAAAAAAATGAGCCAATCAATGGGTATGCTCTGTAGAGCCGGTAACTAATACCTGCACTCCAGTTAACAAACTGTGGATGTATATGTATACGAATGAACTTACATTTTCAACAGAAAGGTCCTGAAACTATGATACAACAAGGGTGCCATAGTCACAAAATACGCCCGTTTACGAAAGCTTTAGATGGAGATGGGGGCATTATGGATAAGTGTTATCTAGCAAGCAAGTTTTTATTCTTGGCACTGTGTTGTTAAATGAACCTTAAAACAATTCAGTAGGGAAGATATGCACAGGATGTGTGACCTTGACCTTGGTCGCAGGGACCTGAATTTTATGCACGGCACTCAGCCTCACAATGATGAACATTTGTGCCAAATTATATTGAAATCCCTCTATGCATGTAGAAGTTTTGCTCCAGACAAGCGTTTTTCTATGAGCTCTAACTGTGACCTTCACCTTTGACCTAGAGACTTGGTTCATGTGCAGGGCACTACGTCTCATGGTGGTGAACAATTCTATAAAGTAATATTAAACTTCCTCCATGCATGTAGAAAATATGCTCCGGACAACATCTGGATATTTAATCATCTCCAGTGACCTTAACCTTGAAAATATTAACCTAAATTAAATGTGTCACACCTGTAGTCATGATAGTTACCATTTGTGCTACAATCCATCAATAAATGATAACTAAATGGTCCCTATACACATCTTCAAACTTTTATCTAAACTTTGACCTCTATGTGTAACCTTGACTTTGGTCGCAGGGATCTGAATTTTGCGTGCCACACTCCGCCACACAATGGTGAACATTTGTGCCAAGTTATATTGAAATCCCCCTATGAATATAGAAGTTTTGCTCCGGACAAGCGTTTTTCAATGAGCTCTAAGTGTGACCTTGACCTTTGACCTGGAGACCTGGATCATGCATGGAGCATTACATATCATGGTGGTGAACATTTCCATAAAGTATTATAAAAATTCTTCCATACATGTCGGAGATATGCTCCAGACAAAATCTGGATATTTCACCATCTTTAGTGACCTTGACCTTGCATATATTGACCTAAAGTACATGTGTCACAGCCGTAGTCATGATAATGACCATTTGTGTTACAATCCCTCAATAAATGATGATTAAATCGTCCCTATACACATCTTCATATTTTTATCTAAACTTTGACCTCTATGTGTGACCTTGACCTTGGCTGCAGGGACCTGAATTTTGTGCGCGACACTCCGCCTCACAAGGTGAACATTTGTGCCAAGTTATATTGAAATCCCTCTAATGCATGTGGAAGTTTTGCTCCTGACAAGCGTTTTTCAAATGAGCTCTAAGTGTGACCTTGACCTTTGACCTAGAGACCTAGTTCATGTGCGTGACATGGCTTCTCATAATGGTGAACATTTCTATGAAATTTCATTAAAATCCCTCCATGCGTGTAGGAGATATGCTCCGGACAAAATCTGGATATTTCATCATCTTTAGTGACCTTGACCTTGTAATATATTGACCTAAATTATATGTATCACAGACATAGTCTTGATAATGACCATTTGTGTTACAATCCCTCAATAAATGATGACTAAAATGGTCCATATACACATCTTCATATTTTTATCTGAACTTTGACCTCTATGTGTGACCTTGACCTTGGCCGCAAGGACCTGAATCTTGCGCGCGACACTCCGCCTCACAATAATGAACATTTGTGCCAAGTAATATTGAAATCCCTCTATACATGTGGAAGTTTTGCTCCGGACAAGCATTTTTCAATGAGCTCTAAGTGTGACCTTGACTTTGACCTAGAGACCTGGTTCATGTGCGCGACACTGCTCCTCATAGTGGTGAACATTTCTATGAAGTTTCATTAAAATCCCTCCATACATGTAGGAGATATGCTCCGGACAAAATTGGACGCCGCCCGCCCGCCAGGGGTGTTCCCATAATACGTCCCGTTTTTCAAACGGGCGTATAAAAATGAGCATAATGTCAGTTCAGCAAAATATAAATAATTACCAGAGGTTGCTGAGAGGGCATTGGCTGTTGCTGTTGCTGCTGAGGAGGCACCATCATTCCATACCCTTGCTGCTGGTACCCACCTTGCTGTTGTCCGGGCTGGGTACCAGGCTGTACTCCTGGCTGGGCACCAGGCTGAACTCCTGGCTGGGCACCAGGCTGTACTCCAGGCTGGGCACCAGCTTGACTGTATCCTGGCCCATATTGTGTAGTTGGTGGCTGAGGCGCACCTTGCTGTGAACTCTGGGAAGGGTAGCCAGGATGCTGTTGTTGTTGAGGATGTTGCTGCTGGGAACCAGCTGCATAACCTGAAACAGTTTAAATGATAAGAAACTTAATATCACGTTGAGAATGTAAGTTTAATGCTATACCATAAAATCTGATGTTTTTGCGAGGGATTAAATTTCACATATTTTGCGAATGTTTGCCAACAATCCACTTTCAAATAAATTTTCTGGAACTGAAAGAAAAAAATTCATGTTTATTTTATTCTGCCACTTAGTCCGAAATGTAAATTTCGCAAAGATTGATCTTGCTAAAATAGCAAAATATCTTTGAGAGATAGAAATGGAAGACAAATAGTGAATGGAAAAAATTCTGGACAACACCACAAAATTGTTGTAACTAATATTGCCGGTATATGTTGCCTGAAATACAACTGCTGTGATTGCATTATAAAATAGTTATCAAGAAAAAAAATGTTTTTTTCTGAAGGACCGTCAACCATTTACCTGTAAAGATAAACTTTCACAAAATGAAAATATAAATAGAACTATGAACTGCCACCAGTCGGTGCCAAAATGAGATTCATAGCTTCTCTCAAGACCAACTGCAAATCTTCAAATATAAATTTTATCACAGGATATGAAATAAAGTTTTCATTCATATGAATGTATGTATATATACATGTATACAATGCCCAAGATTTTACTGATACTATCTAGAATACTAAAGGTGTTCTCAGATACAACTTTGAATATTACCAAAAGCGAGAAAATAAACTATTAAAGCTGCACGCCTCCAGATGAGCCAAACTATTTCAAGAAAATCAATATATTGAGAAAAATATACGAAAATTTCAAGAAAGGTAAAAACATTCAAGATCAAAGTTATATTTTACATGTGCCGTTTAAGACTGATTTTGCAGTATTTAATTACCATATTTCTACTGTGTAACTAACACAGTAAAGGCTTTTTTTGCATATGTTGACAACTTTTTGGTAATTTTCTTGGACTGCATGTGCCGATTGCAATATGTAAATTACTTTATTTGTTCACCTCACAATATTTTTTTTTTTCGGGCGTCCATGGCCGGGTGGTTAAGGTCGTTGACTTCAAACCACTTGCCCCTCACCGCTGTGGGTTCAAATCACAACAGGGACTTTAGATTCTTTCATGTGAGGAAGCTTTCCAGCTAGCTTACGGAACGTCGGTGGTTCTACTCAGGTGCCCGTTCGTGCCTGAAATAATGCACGGAAGGGCACCTGAGGTCTTCCTCCACCTGTAAAGCTGGAATGTCGCCGAATGACCTATACTGTGTCAGTGTGACATAAAACCCAAAGCAAACAAACAAACAAACAATATTTTACTTTTAAATACATTTTCAAAATTTTCACGAAAATTAACATGAATTTGGAGGCATGCTGCTGTAACATACAGACTATACTGTGAAGTCACTTAATTTCATTGGCATGAAATTGCATGGTTTTGTTACAAAGAACATTTTCATGGGTTCTTAAACTCGTGGACTGTTTATATTTCCATAAGGTAAAATGTAATTAATGTGATGCAAAATAATCTTACAGCAGACATGATCTTAAAATTCGTGGATTGACCCAGTCACGAAAACCATTAACATTAGTTACCCACGGAGATTATAATGATTTTGCAGTACATAAGGATGCTTATACGAGGGTTGATCAATATATTCATGGACACTATTAATAACTTAATAATTAATCAAGATATTATAAAGAATTTTCGCTATTGAGGAGAAGAATTTAATCCTATTACAAATATATTGTGATTTTAAAAAAAGTTCTCATTTTATTGATTATATGTATCACCATAGCAACCCTATGCCGTACGAACCCCGCAGCTTAAAAGTTATATTTACCATTTTAAAATACTTAAAAATTGGTTTTATTTTGGCGCGGTTCTTTAAAATATGAAAATGAAAGCAACGTTCTTTGATATCGTTTATAGAACATTTTAAAAAAATAGCACCGCTACGATTTCTTTTGTTTGTTGGATATGTTAATGGAGACAGGGGTGTGTCACCAGAGAGGAGCACGACGTTGTTGGAGCAGTAATTTATGTCTGTGTAAATCATGGTATGATGCCACAGCAGACTAAGGAAAACTTGGAAAGTGTATCTTGAACAAAAAAAAGTGCCTTATTCATTTTTTTTAAAGTGGCACAAACGCTTTCATGAGGGTAGAGTAGAACTTCAGGATAATAAGAGATGCGGCAGACCAATCGAAACTTGTTGCATTGAGAACGTTATGCGAATGAAATTGAAGGCAGAGTTAAAGGGACACAAGTTAACCAGGTTCCATGATTTACAGTCCATGGCATTGTCTGTGTTGCGTTCATTTGATACTTCATTTAATAAGAACGTTTTCAGTCAGTGGGTACACAGGCATGAACGATGTGTAGAAGTTGGTGCTGCATTTTTATAGAAGATGTAACGCCGACATAACATAAGTTGCGAATGAGTTGCGGCGATCAGCTTAACATGTATTTTTTGAAAACTGTCATTTTGGATAAAATATACGGATTATTTATCTGAATCTTACACATCAAATTGATAAAAGATTAAATAAATGTCAAATATAATTATATTAACTTTCCTTCCCCAATAAAACAATTTATGGAGTGTGTCCACGAATATATTGATCAACCCTCGTATATGGCTACTAGTGCTTTCATAAAATTAGTACATGAACACGATCTTAATGTACTTGATAATTATCTAAAGAATTCCAAAAAGTGACAGGAAGGGGCGGAGCAAAGGAGAAAGGAGGAGGAAAAAGGTAGTGACATACTTGAAGATATTGGAGTGTTTGTTCTAGACGAGTGCTGATCGTGTTCGTGCCCTGTGAATGTGTGAGATTGCATAAGGGACCTCTGATAACCTAGGCGAGAAAGAGAAAAAACATCATGAATGTGGCAGTAAAAAAAAAAAAAATTAGCAATACGTGTATATAGAACTCTCAGTGAATGATAAATAAATCATTTTTATACACGCTTTGAAATTTATGTCTTTTTCATGCTAAGAAAATATTATTAGAAACACAGAAACACAGATTGCTTGTCGAGCGATTTTGCATTTCCATAAATTACTGGTTTTCACTAAATTATTTTAAAAGTTCTGTGCATGTTTTTATTTTAATAATAAATATGTATCCACAAGTTGAGGATTTTATTCCATAAAAAATGTTGCCTCTTATCAATGGTTTCAATTCACATAATTGAATGAGTAATGCAAATAATTGTTTTTTCAGGTTTTCTAACACCTAGTTTACATCATGACCAAGGCAAATGAAAAGAACCACCAACTTTAAGCTGGATGGCAAACTCACATGCAATGATTCTGCGTTCAATGCAAGCTTCTCTCAACATTTAATTTATACTAATTTATTTTAGTTTCATTGTCTTGGAAGCAGTAAGCTTATTGAAACACTCTCAAATCCATTCCTAGAACCAACCAGTACTAAGCAATAGCGTAAAGTTTCTTGCTCACAGAAACAACGCCTTGCTCTGATGGGGTTAATGAACCCATGCACCTAGCAATCCCTAGATTACAAGTCTGGCACATTAACCACTCGGCAACACTATATTTTCACCAATTGATGTGAAGGAGGAACTAATTAAAGGCAGCAACCTCTGCCACTTGGTTACAGGAGCAACTTTTTATTAACCTAAGCTCTTACTGCTCATTGCTTGTCTTTGAGACTTATTTTTGATCTCTTTGATTGAATCAAGGTTTTTTTTCTCACTTTTCTGAATTTTCTGTCTCTTTACAAGGAGTTCATTAAAATTCTTAAGCAATCAACAGTTTATTTTCTCTTCATGCCTTAATAACCCCTAACTGCATATAGTGAAATGTTATTATTAAATGTCCGGTAATAATAAAAATGTTAGAAGTATAATTGTGTAGCCTAGTCTGGAAATATAATTATATATATAAATATATACTGCTAAATTCATGTGGTCCTTCTTTCCCTGCCCATGTGTTCTGACCCTGACTGATGTATGATGGGAAATTCTGGTACATCACGAGTGCCGGACTGAATTCTAGCAACAGATGGTAGAAAAAAAAAACCTTGGTTAAATATTTCGTCACATGTAAACGTTAGTTAGAAAAGCGTTAGCAGTGTTAAGTAAGCTATGCAGACAACAGCTATACATGTACCTATCTGAATATTTTAATATGGTTGCATGCCACACGGATAGAATATCGCAAAAGTTGGCAGCTTGCATTCATGAATGCCGCCATTCCTTGATGATCTTGTTTTTTATTTTGCAGTAGACCCACTTACCTTCAAAAAACTTCTTACATGTAAATAGCTTCCTCACTTAACAAATTCAAAATCCTTGCTTGGATTTGAACACACAGGTAATTGGGCAACAGATTTAATATACGCGACAATTATCATCCGGCCATGGGGGACCGCTGATTTTGACATGTAATGGGTAATATTATTTAATAATGTTTCAATGGTGTAAAGATAGTGTACATTTTGTGTAATAAAGAGAAACTGAGATATATAGGAAAATAGAAGGTAGGAAAAGAAAATGGAGAAAGAAGGTAGGGTAAAGAAGGGTGTAAATAAATGTAATAAGGTGTATATGTAAATATGAACTAAACAAACACAACTGATTTACATTTAACAAGAATTTGTAACAGAGTTACCAACGTCCCCCGCCTCGGGGAAGTTTTATATGAAGCATAAAATTGTGCTATTTCAAAAGATTGAGGTATGGATGTCAGGACTTTCATTCCAAAATTATGATCAATGCTAGATCTACAAATGCAACAATGAAATTATTAAAGAAATACTAGTAAAATGAAACACGGAATGTAAAATTCTATCATGTTAACCTTTGACCTCAAATGGTGACTTTGACCTTGGAGGTAGGGGTGCAGGTGTTGTGCATGACATATCATCTAATTAATATTACTATTTGTGTCAAGTATTTTCAAAATCCCTTGAACTATGTAGAAGTTATAGATCGGACACAAAATATACCCTATAACAGACTATGTCAATCTTTGACCTCTAAGTGTGACCTTTGAGGTAGGGACCCATGTTTTGCGCCTGACATATCATCTTATTATTGTGATTATTTGTGCAAAGTATTTTTAAAATTCCAGGTTATGGACTGGACACAAAATATACCCTATTACAGAGTATGTAAATGTTTGACCTCTATGTGTGACCTTGACCTTGGAGGTAGGGACACATGTGTTATGCATGACATATCATCTTATCATTGTGACTATTTGTGCCAAGTATATTCAAAATCCCTTGATCTATGAAGAAGTTATAAGACGGGACACAAAATAAACCATATAACAGACTCTGTTAACCTTTGACCTTGACAATTGTGGCAAGTATTTACAAAATCCCTTCAAGGATAAGAAAGTTATGGACCGGACACAACGTATACCATCAAATAGACAATGTTGACCTTGAATGCGCAAGTGCGACCTTGACCCTGGAGGTAGGGGTCTGGTTTTTGCACATGACACATCGTCTTATTATAACAAACATTTGTGCCAAGTTTTTTCAGATTCCTTCAGTAAATGACAAAGTTATGGACCGGACACGAAAGTGTGACGGACGGACGGACGGACGTTCTCACAGGATAGTAATTATGTGGCTACTCTATTGTTCTCTCTATTGTTCTTTTTAGCCACGCAAAAGAAAATAGCCACACAAAAGCATTACGGAATGAATGACATCAAAGAGAACCTATTGTCCCTCTAGCCACATAATTACTCTCCTGTGAGTGCGGACAGACGGATGGACAGACGGACGGAGCCTATTACTATATCCCCCTTTTTTCTTCGAAAAGGCGGGGGACAATAAGCTAAACATAAATCAAGTTGATACTTGTAATCAAGTAGAACAATGTGATATGGCCATAGGAAATTAACGCTTCAACATTCCACTGTTTTGTCAGTCAACAGGCAGTGTGATAACAGGACCAACAGACATAAATATTCAAAGAAAGAAAATTAAAAGCTCCTAAAGTCACTTATGTCAATCATTAATATTTTTTCATACACTTTGACATGGAATGAATCTTTTAATTAATGTATGACCCAGCTGAAATTCTGAGTCGATAGCATTAACAGCAACTTCTTAAAATTGCATCATATACATGTATAATACAAAATATCTTCCTGTTCAATTATTATACATGTACATATAATTAAAAAATTTACATATAAGTAATTTATCACAAAAAAACATAGTGTAGGAGTGAAATAAAGCCGTTTAATAAAAACGATATTACACTGGTGTAATAACACTTTGATGTGACATCATTTAGAATATTATATAAACATAGCGTTAAATATATAGACGGCAGTAATTTTTCTGCTTATATAACAGACTCCGCTAAAAGGCCTCTTCCCAATTTAAATTTTCTTTAAAATCATGCAATTTTCCCAAAAATCTGAATTTAAACCTGCTTTTTTACTTCCCAAATTAGCAATTTTTGCGATAATTTTTCCCAAAATCAAATGGCTAAGGCCTCTTCCCAATTAATGAGAAAAATCACTGGACAGGTCAAAAATGAATCTTTTAATTGTAAACAGTTCTTTTGAATATGTGATAAATAGAATATTAGTATATTCAAGTATTTCAAATTGGCACGCCTATAGTGTAACGCTAACATTAGCCCCACTTTAACACTATGTTTGTATATATAATACAAATTACTAAAGTAGAAAATCAAAATGTTGCTACAAATTTCTATATACAAGTTATTTTAATTGTAACAATTGAGCTTGTTGAATAAATTCAGTATTAAACCTACACTCCTGCAATATCCTCTATAGGTCCCCCCAATATTTCTAAATGATCACATTTGCTGTTCTATATATACATGAAGCCAGTTCTTGAAATCAAAAAAGAAAACAAATACAGACCACCCGATCAGAAGATTAGCTAAATACTGAGTGACTAAAATCATTACTTATTGCCATCTATACAGTAATTAAAATATATACAATTACTTAACATGCAATACCTGAACCACACTATAGAACTAGAAATGTGTCATCATGCCACGGATGCCCCCGCATGCAGCCAAAATTTCAGATGGTGCATTAATTATTTTTTTCATTTTAAGTTCAAAGCCCTTAAAACTTTTCAATGTTAACACAAACCATTTTCATACAATGTTCAAGGCACTGAAATTATTCAGTCTTAACCTTTTAAAAATAGCATATTGCATATTTGTAGTCAAAATAATGGCTAAAAGTATGAGTGCTGAAACTGAAAGTTCAAAATTTTTCCCAACATTCAGGAAAGATAAGTTTGTCTAAAATCATTGAACCACGACCAAATTCAAACTTAAACTGCTTATTCCTTAGATGTATCTATATTTTTTTCAAAGTGAAAGGGACATAACTCTGCCAAAAAATCATCAAACCATGACCAAATTCCAACTTGACCTGCCCATTCCTTTGACATATCCATATGTCAAATTTAAGTTGAATATGTAACACTGTTGGGTAGATAATGAACAGAAACTGTAAATTTCATATTATTTTCAAAGTGAAAGGGGCATTACTCTGCCAAAAATCATTGAACCATTACCAAATTCGAACTTGGCCTGGGCATTCCAAAAACATATCCATATGTCAAATTTGAGTTGAATGTGTTGTTTCATTGGGTAGATAATGAACAGAAACTGAAAATTTCATATTATTTGCAAAGTGAAAGGGGCATAACTCTGCCAAAAATCATTGAACCAATTCCCAAATTTGAACTTGATCTGCGCATTCCTTTGACATATGCATATATTAAGTTTGAGTTGAGGAGATAATGAACGGAAACTGAAAATTTCGTATCATTTTCAAAGTAAAAGGGGCATAACTCTGTCAAAAATCATCGAACCATGACCAAATTCAAGCTTGACCTGTATTTTCTCATGACATATCCATATGTCAAGTTTGAGTTGAATGTGTTGTACCGTTGGGGAGATAATGAACGGAAACTGAAAATTTCATATTATTTTCAAAGTAAAAGGGGCACAACTCTGCCAAAAATCATCAAACCATGACCAAATTCAAACTTGACCTGTATTTTCTCATGACATATCCATATGTCAAGTTTGAGTTGAATGTGTTGTACCGTTGGGGAGATAATGAACGAAAACTGAAATTTCATATTATTTTCAAAGTAAAAGGGGCATAACTCTGCCAAAAATCATTGAACCATGACCAAATTCGAACTTGACCTGTATTTTCTCATGAAATATCCATATGTCAAATTTGAGTTGAATGTGTTGTACCGTTCTTAAGATAATGAACGGAAACTGATGATGACGGAATGACAGAAGGACAGAAGGATGGAAGGACGGAACAGGGTAACACTATATGCCCCGGCCATTACATGGCGGGGGCATAAAAATGTAGCAACATTTCGACATTCTTGTTATAATTATTATACTTAAAATACAACATGAATACATGGTTCAAACCAATTGCCAAAAAAGTTCTATAAATTCACCTTGTCTATAATATCAGAAAAGTCCGTGACATAAGAATTGTAGAATGTGTCGGGATATTTTTTTCTTTTCCACAGTGTCATTTTAACTAAATTTTCATAAAGTTTGTGACAAAACAAAACGAACAGCATAAGTTATGATAATGTTATAACTCTTTTGATCACACAAAGTTGTATTTACAATCACACTACAAGCTCAAGTTGTATTCACAATCACATAACAAGCTCAAGTTGTATTCACAATTACACAATAAGCTCAAGTTGTATTCATAATCACACAACAAGATCAAGCTGTATTCACAATTACACAATAAGCTCAACTTGTATTCACAATCACACAACAAGCTCAAGTTGTATTCACAATCACATAACAAGCTCAAGTTGTATTAATAATCACACAACAAGCTCAAGTTGTATTCATAATCACACAACAAGCTCAAGTTGTATTCACAATCACTCTACAAAGCTCAGTTGTATTCTTTATCACACTGCAAGCTCAGTGGTATTCACAATCACACTACAAGCTCAACTTGTATTCACAATCACACTACAAGCTCAACTTGTATTCACAATCACTCTACAAAGCTCAGTTGTATTCTTTATCACACTACAAGCTCAGTGGTATTCACAATCACACTACAAGCTCAGTGGTATTCACAATCACACTACAAATTCAAGTTGTATTCACAATCATACTACAAGCTCAAGTTGTATTCACAATCACACTACAAGCTCAAGTTGTATTCACAATCACACTACAAGCTCAAGTTGTATTCACAATCACACTACAAATTCAAGTTGTATTCACAATCACACTACAAGCTCAAGTTGTATTCACAATCACACTACAAATTCAAGTTGTATTCACAATCACACTGCAAGCTCAGTGGTATTCACAATCACACTACAAGCTCAACTTGTATTCACAAATCACTCTACAAGCTCAGTTGTATTCTTTATCACACTACAAGCTCAGTGGTATTCACAATCACACTACAAATTCAAGTTGTATTCACAATCATACTACAAGCTCAAGTTGTATTCACAATCACACTACAAGCTCAAGTTGTATTCACAATCACACTACAAGCTCAAGTTGTATTCACAAACACACTACAAGCTCAGTTTATTCTTTATCACACTACAAGCTCAGTGGTATTCACAATCACACTACAAATTCAAGTTGTATTCACAATCACACTACAAGCTCAACTTGTATTCACAATCACACTACAAGCTCAACTTGTATTCACAATCACACTACAAGCTCAAGTTGTATTCACAATCACACTACAAGCTCAAGTTGTATTCACAATCACACTACAAATTCAAGTTGTATTCACAATCATACTACAAGCTCAAGTTGTATTCACAATCACACTACAAATTCAAGTTGTATTCACAATCATACTACAAGCTCAAGTTGTATTCACAAACACACTACAAGCTCAGTTGTATTCACAATCACACTACAAATTCAAGTTGTATTCACAATCACACTACAAGCTCAACTTGTATTCACAATCACACTACAAGCTCAAGTTGTATTCACAATCACACTACAAGCTCAACTTGTATTCACAATCACACTACAAGCTCAAGTTGTATTCACAAACACACTACAAGCTCAGTTGTATTCACAATCACACTACAAGCTCAGTTGTATTCACAATCACACTACAAGCTCAAGTTGTATTCATAGCGTTCTAATGAAATGTACCCTATTTAATATACACTAGGTAATAATAATAACTAGGTGATAAGTCTATCAAAAGGATAAGATATAATATAATTAATTTTGTTTTATTCAAATTCGTGTTATGCATTTTATTAAAGGTATACAATAAAAGGAAAATGACATGAGTGTGTTATTTTGAATGATTGTATAGCTCTCGTTGATTGCATAGTTTTATTCCAATTTTCACTATGGGCTTGTTAGAATACAACTGTACACAATCAACTTAAGCAATACAAACCAGCAGAATAACATATTCATGTAATATTCCCTCTGTATGCTAATCCTATCAGCTACTTATAACTTATAATAAGAGGGCTGTCCGGAAAGTTGGCAGACAAGGCTATAAACTAAATATAATAAGCACTCATATCAATATGATGATTTAATATTCTGCTAAAATATATATTTGCTACATTATCTCTTATTAAATAAACATGATAACAATAACATTTACAAAGTGCCAATAACTTATGTAGATATGTTGTTTTTTTTGTTGCCAAACTTTGTAAAACGTATGTAATGTTTTAGAGTAAAAAATGAAGTAATATATGAATTTTCCGGACAACCCTTGAACACGCATTCTTAATCTTAATATAATTCTCAAAGTGAACCTATGGTTATATGAATCTCAGCCAGTCTAGATGCTTTTGTATAAAGCATCAGCAATTTTATAGTGAATTTCTAATATCATGTAAATAATATCTTTATAAAAATGTTTACCCTTTCACTCAGTTCTATGGACAGAAAAATTGCCCCCCACCAAAAAAATGTAAACACAACTATATATCTTGACTGATTAATGACATCTTGTTATTGAGCATACCATTGCTATGATACATATTCTTTAACTTTGACTTCTATAGTTCTAGATAGAATTTGCACTCAAAACTCCTTTCAAAAATTGTAAAATTAAGTAAAGAATCATGCAAGAGTTTTGGGTTTTAACAAAAAAACTTACAACAACAATCCGAAAGAGTAGAAGCATGTGTGTGAAGTTTCAAGTGAATTTTTAAAATAGATATTAAGTAGATATCATGAAAAATGAAATTGCACTCAGTAAGTAAACTGAGTGTAATGTCAACACTTGAGTGAATAGCATAACTCCTCTGTAATTTTTTTCCACAAATTGTGAAGTTGAATAAAATTTCTATGCATGTATATAATAACAAACATTATAAAGAAATCAGTTGGATAAATTATATACATTTATTCATTAACATGAAATTTAAAGATATGATTAAATCATCATGGTTTCATTTCAAAGAAAGTCTAAGTCATAAAGCAGCATTAAAAATAAAAAAATCTCAGACATTTTGCACTCATCAAGAATGTCTATATAAGGACTCCTATCAGTTATAAGAATTACATGCAAAGCAGCAAACAGTGATGATAAACATATAAGTGTTGAGACATACTATTGGTATTATACTGCTTATCTTAGGAGAACAAATTTAATTACAGTTAAATGTCTTTAACTTAAGATAATAATGTTTATTGAAACAGTCTTAAGATAGTCCTAAAGTTAGTCTTATGTCCTAGGACGTAGGATATACTTAGGACTTTCTATGAAACACAGTCCTGTATAATACCTGAGGTTAAAATACCATAACCCCTCCTACTTCAATATCATGTTTCTTTGGTTACTATGGTAACTGAACTATACATAGAACACTGACCTTGAGGTCCTTGGTGATATGCTGTTGGTGTACCAGGCTGTTGCTGTTGCCATGGAGGCACCTTCTGCGCACTTCCTGGAGCCTGAGCAGTAGGATATGGTGGTGCTTGTCCACCTTTCAATACATTAAAAAATGGTAAATGGTAAATATTCAAAATTTTTAACAAAAAAAATACAGTTAAAGGACAACATAATAAGAGCACAATGATTTAACACTTAGTCATATATATTGCAATATTTTTTTCTAATAACATATATTGACAAAGAAATGTCAATATTTCTTTAAAAGAAAGCAAATACTTTAAAGTGAGTTGGTCCATTATGGAGGGTAAGTACATTAAATACCACAACTAATAATGTTTGATAGTAGTAAGTACTCACGATCTCCACTACTCAACCAAACACTATAATTATTAAACACGCGACCCCGTTGTTGGTCAGTTCAGGATTATAATCATTTTTTAACATTTATATATAGAAATTAATAATGTACGAAATTAATAAAAAAAAAATCATGAATATTAGAACAGCTATTGTATGACTGAAATCCACTTCTAAATATATACAAAGAAACTGAAATCAAAGGTATTCATTTGATCATATGAATCTATGGGCCGCTATAACAAAATCCATACTTTTGACATTACTGTCACTAAAACAGTAATAACAAACGTTGGTGCTTAGTATGAACAATTGGTGAGGATTTTAATTTCTGGAAATAAATAACAAAACCATACAATTTCAGTCAAATATTGCTTTTTTTTACTTTTTTCTTTTCTATTTATATCATAGCTATTATTTCTCTGACACTACCCCATGGTTTTTAAAATTCAAGGTCGATTCAGAGTAGAACCTCGAATCTGCAATGTATAGTATATATATATTCTTTATTTAAGTCTCATCCATACATAACAACATAAAAGAATTCAATTACATAATTTTACAAAATAAAAGTTGTTTAAAACAGAATTACAAGAGACTTTAAAAATAATCTAATGGAAGGGAGGCAACTCTGCAATAAATTTCCAATATAACTTACAGGGTACGCTATCTAAAAAGAAACTACACAAGAAATAATTTAATATCTCTGAAGGAAAACATTCAAATCTTTCAAGGAAACAAGAGAGAGTCAAATCCAGTATCTTTTACTCATTAAATCACAAAAGAATCCATGTACATAAACAATCCTCCAGTCTGAGAAAAATACAAAATCAACCAAACAAGAGTAAGAAGTCAAACCTTGTTGTACTGGAGCACCTGGCCCTTGCTGTTGTTGTCTACTTGAAGATGAACCAATACTTGAAATGCTGTCCGGGGTGCCAGGTCGTTCTGAAATATTTCACATACAATTCTATTTCTACAATTTAACTCACCATATGGTGAAAAACACTGCAAAATCAGTCAATAATTGCGTGTAAATCATTTCTTGAATTGTGAATATTTTTATTTTTCTTAAAATCTTATTACATTTTTCTCAAGGCTGATATTTTCTTGAGATATTTTGGCTCATCTGGAGGCAGGCAGCTTTAAAACCAGTTTAGGCTCTAATTAATAAACAGCTGCAACACACCAAGGATGGATGTTAAAAAGACTTTTTTATTTGTTAAAATGCTCAGTTTTAAAATTGAAATGCTTGAATTAAAAAAAAACATCAAAAACTCGACTAATGCAAGGATTCATATTTGTTTTAAATTCAATAAACCATTACACTGCTTTAACTACAAGTTATATTGTCTGCTTGTTTGGTTTTATGGCTTAACAACACAGAATAGGTCATATGGGGTCATATGGGGCTGGAACAGGAATGATGATTTTACAAAATCGTGGTGTTTACAGACTTAAAGAAACACTGAATGGGAGGACGCCACCTCACTGCCTGGAGTGTAAATAGATGCATAGACACCATTTATTGGAACACACTTAGTTACCTTATGTAAACAGAATAAGTCGGGGGTGTAATTTTATACGTCAAACATTGGAAGCAAGCCTCAGCTCCAAAGGGGAAAGATACAGGCTTTTTAAGACCACTATGCCACAAAGTAACAGAGACAGGCCAGCCGTGACTGGAAGCCAGGGTTCTATATCTTTAGCCATTGATTGCCAAATTTAAGCATTTTTGAAGAGTGAAAAATTTTACAAGCTGTTGCATCAACAGACGAAAAAGGCTGACATACCATCATTGGGAATTCCAAAAGATGACATGACTTTGTTTTGTTGGTCTTCAGCTGATCTCTGACTTGATAAAGGATCAAACTCTTTACTACCAGCTTGACTAGTTGGCGGCACTGCACTGGGTCTTGGTGACACTCTTTGTGGACTGTCTGTTATTTTTGGGGGAACAACTGAAACAGGAATGTAAAATCTTTGTAAACTAAGAAAATCACTGTAAACTGTAAACTAACAAAATCTTTGTAAACCAACAAAATCTTTGTAAGGCAACAAAATCTTTGTAAACTGACAAAATCTTTGTAAACTAACAAGTCCAAGTAAAGGGAGATCATTAAGTGAAAATATAAAAATTACTTAGGTTAAATGATAAATGAGATTTTTATATAATGTAATAGAAGGAAACACACGAAACATATCTATATCTAAATAACTAGTATAGCTGGCCACAAAGACAGTTCCATCCCTCAACATTCAAAATAACAAAATAAAAAGTAATTCCAAGGCACCAATTATGATAATTTTATAAAGGAGACTTTCAAAATCTAAATTTTGTTTGATTGGGATTTACATCACACTGACACTGTATAGGTCATATGGCGACATTACAGCTTTACAAGTGGAGGAAGACCATAAGGTGGCCTTCCGTACATTATTTCGGGCAAGAACAGGCACCTGAGTAGAACCACCGACATTCCGTAACCTAGCTGGATACTTCCTCACATAAAAGAATCCACAGTCCCTGTCGAGATTCGAACCCATAGCGGTGAGGGGCAAGTGGTTTGAAATAAAAAAAACCTTAACCACTCAGCCATGGACACTCCAATAAATTAAAAAACAATACCTTTAAATGAGCTACTATCTACTGTTGAACTAGGACCTTCATACGGCTGTCTGTCATCAAGCTTGTCTAGCAACTGATTACATCGTTCTCGTATATGTTTTAACTCAGATTTTATCATCTTCACCTCATCTGTTTGTAATGGCTCCGGTTTACCATTTACTGTTATATAGAAGAAATTGAAATGTCAATTAAAAACAAAACAAAACATGATACTGTGTCATCTGAAATATTAAATCTTCAACTGAGAGCCATAAATCATTGCATACATTACTTTATCTAGCCTTACAATTCCCATGTCAACAGCCATTATTGACTCAAGTTTTTACTATAACAATTTTGATGATTTCTGCCATTATACATGTACAGCAATAGACATTCTTGCATGTAAAATTTATTAAAGAAAAAAAAAACTGGAAAAATAAGACAAATTTGTACAAGTTTTAGTTACATGTACCTATTCTAAAGGAGAAAATAAAGAAATGATATTCCGATCATACTTGTATTTGACTATGCTAACTATTTAATATTTATCTAGACATGTATAGTTGGCTTGACTCTTTATAAAGTTATATTATTGGTGTGGTTGGTTGTTTATTTTCTTCTCTCTGTCTTTAGCATAAGCACTTTGGAATTAACGCAGAGAGAGTCAGTCAGCGATTTTTATAGTTTTCTTCGGTTTTACTTTTTTTACCTAATTAAATTAATTTGTCCTTCACTTTTGCAATGAACTGCTAGTCAGCGCTGTCACCAAAGCTTATGGGATTCAGTGTGAATTGACCATTGAAAGACATTTCAATAATACATATCATACATATGATATAGTGTTCCGGCATTCATCTTTGTATTTGATTTTCCGGGTCTATATTTTCGTTTTTATTCAGTCCAGACTCTCCAATTGAGTGCTTTTAATTTTTTGTTATAAATAGAATCTTAAGTGAACATTCATATACCAGTGGAGGTAATAGAAAGAGAAATCTCTCTATAAGCCTGCAATACTTACCAAATAAGGTAATTTTTAAAATTCTACTACACTGTATGGCAAAGTTCAAGTCTGAGCTGTCAAATATTGTAATTAAATCATTATCTGAAAATACAGAAATATACAAAATTACTAAAAACACGTTGTTTTTTTTGCTTACTGGTATTTAAATAAAACGAAAGCTTGAAATGCATTTATCATGTGTTATATGATGGAATATGGTTATACCGAGATCTAACCTACAATCATTTGGTTGACAGACTGACAAAGGCCATCACTTCCCTTAACATAAAATATTAGGTTATGAATTGATATAGAAAGGTTACAATACATCCATCAATTTAATATTTATTTTCCTTGTTATTATTATAGCAGACTATATTATGTAATAATCTTTATTTCAATAATTGCATTAATTTAAAGCGTAATCTCATTTTAAGCTTACATAAGCAGCTGTAGTTTTCAAGTAAGTCGTATAGATGTATTTTCTTCTGTACACGCTGCATTCATTAGTACTCTTTATCTATCGTATTGTTATGTTCATTGTGTCATGTCACCGAAGGGGCAACCTTAATATTGCTTTGTCATTCATTGATATTCTTTTTTGTGACCTTAGTTGAAGGGCAATACATAATGATTCATGCATAATGTTCCTCCTCAATTGCTTAGTCTTAATGAAGAATCTGTACATAATGTAGCTGCTCTATGAAAAATTGTGTTAACAAGTAAGTGAATACATAGAAGCTGTTAATGATGCATGTGAACTTTTTTCGATGATCAAGTCGGAGATTTTTCTTCCAAAAGAGGGAGATTTTAGAATTTGCAAAAGAAAGAAGAAGTTCTGAAAATAGGGAGATTTTTTAATTTGTGAAAATACCTCTTATTTTAAGAAAAATCTTTAAACATATGGCTGCAGAAAGTGGGAGTCTTCTGCCAAAAGTGGGAGAGTTCACATGAATGGTTTATCCACAAAAATAATCTGTAATACATCAAACTAAATAGCTCTTACTACAATAAATGCAGGTTTTTTTTTCTCAGCACTTTGGGAGCATGACCTGACCCCCAGAATTGGGAAATTTTACAATGTTTTAGAAAAATTGGGAAAAATGACAACAAATTGTTAGTTGTACATCAAATTTATAATACAAAGAAATAAAATATTTGGTTAATTAAAATCCTTTTATATTTCAATCATCTGCACATATTACAATTTGGAATGCAAGATTACAATGTTTTATGGCACAGTTCAGTGTAATGTAACAAAATGACAATAATTTTACTTTTCATTTTTTATTCCTTAAATTGGGGAAAAAAACCCATACTTTTTGGCATTGCCAATTTGGGAACAGCTAAATGTTTACTCTTGGTGGATATGAAAATTTTGTTGGCACAAAAACATGTCAACCTCGCAATTTTAATGTAATTTTTCAAGTTTGGCTTAATATGTTTAACAGCTACTGAATGAGAGCAAAATATTGACCTTGATGGGTTTATTTACCTTGTAGATATTTTATATAGTAAACAGGTGCTGGATAGTAATTTTGTTCTTGTGATGAGGGGAGATTATTTTATGATAACTTGGCCATAATTGGCAAGACAAAGTGCCAAAAATCTGTGTACAACATGAAATATATATAACAACAATTAAAAATTTTATGTTAACATACAATTGAAGCTTTAATATATTACAACATGTAAACATAGCATAAAAGTCAAATAAAAAGATGAAGTGTAAACTGTCTGTAAATTGGCACTTGGTAAAGGGTCAACTCTTCCCTATGTCAACTCTGGCCTATAACAACTTGGCACAGGTCAGCTCGGTCCTTCATTAAAAACAAAATGCACATGTTTTATTTGTTAGAGAATTATGTCCGGTTCTTGCATAAAATGAAATCGCAAAACAGTACTGAAACTCATTCTGGTGTCTCACATCAAAGAAAAGCGTACATTGTTATCTTTAAGAAATTATGATATTTTAGGGAGTTTTTTAAACGTTGTCAAAATAGGGGAAAACAAGCAAATTCGTTGAATTTATATCCCCCGCCGAGTACTGGTTATTACTAACACAACAACTGAAGACATAAGACTTTATTTATATATTTATCATGGCATAAACAGTAATATTCTTTGAACTTGATAAATATTCAGGGCAATAACAGAGTCATAACTCTGTGTTAAATAGTAATATCTGGAAATGCCAATGAGATGTATGCATACTGCATAACTAATCAAGGGCCATAAATCTGAGTTATAACTGTCTGACCGAACAAGGCGACTATATGCACATCTCCTCTTCGTATCCATAAAGTTTCATTGAATTCCAGCCAGTAGTTACAGAGAAGTGGCACGGAAAACAATTATTGCTCTGGTTGTATACTGCATAAGTTATCAAGGGCCATAACTCTAAGTTAAAATGTCTGACCCGAACAAGGCGACGATATGCCCATCTCCTCTTGGTATTGAAGGTTCCCATAGTTTCCAGCCAGTAGTTGCAGAGAAGAAGCGCAGAAACAAATATTTTTCTATATACATACTGCATAACTAATCAAGGGCCATAACACTGAGGTAAAATGTCTGACCCCAACAAGGCAATGATATGCACATCATCTCTTGGTATTGAAGGTTCCCATAAAGTTTTGTTGAATTCCAACCAGTAGTTGCAGAGAAGTAGCGCGGAAACGATTTTTGCTCTATATGCATACTGCATAACTAATCAAGAGCCATAACTCTGAGTTAAAGTGTCTGATCAAAACAAGGTAAGATATGCGCATCTCCTCTTGGTATTGAAGGTTCCCATTAAGTTTTGTTGAATTCCAGCCAGTAGTTGAAGAAAAGTAGCGGGGAAATGATTTTTGCTCTATATGCACACTGCATAACTAATCAAGGGCCATAACTCTGGGTTAAAGTGTCGGACCGGAACAAGCCCACGATATGCGCACCCCCTCTTGATATTGAAGGTTCCCATAAAGTTTCTTTGAATTGCAGCCAGTAGTAGGAGAGAAGTAGGACAGAACAATTTATACTCTATTAGTCATCTGGATAACTAATAAGGGCATAACGCTGAGTTAGTGTCGGACGGAACAAAGCCGCGATGATGCTCATCCCGCTCTTGATATTGAGGTTCCCAGAGCAGTTTGCGCTAGTAATCCACCATAAGTAGCAGAAGATAGTAGCGCGGAAAGATTTCATTACATTATATGCTATACTTGCATTACTAATCAAGGGCCTAACTTCTGAGTAAAGTGTCGACCGTAACAAGCAACGATATGCGCATCCCCCGTCTTGAAGTTGTATGATTCCATAAAGGTTCCTATTAGAATTCCAGCCAGTAGTTTTGCAGATAAATACTCCGAAAGAATTCGAGACAGACGGGAGACAACGCAACACACATATCCCTCTCCGATTCATCGGTGGGACGGGACATTGCAAAACAATAGTCCCCCTCGGGCGAGTTGCCATTGGCGGGGTGATAACAAAAGTATTTTTTGTTTATTTTTTTTTTTTTATTGTTTTTTAAATGTTAAGACATATGGATGCAGGTCATAATAATTGCCAGATATATTTGACGTTGGGGGTTTGCGAAATAAAAATAGATCATGGTGTACTCATATAATATTTGGTAAATTATTAATGGTTAAAATACTGCAGGCAGATTCTGAATGTCTACAAGATTTTTTAGATCAATGACAATATTCCAGACCCATGAAGACACTTTCTGATAGTAAATTATGACTACGTAAATAACAATGTGAATATTGATGAGTGAAGAAATACAAGTTGTTTCCCTCGAGTAAAATCGATATCTCTTATGCTAAAACAATACAAATGAAGCCGTTTTTAAACCACCAGTTTGTTGTGATTGTCTGATTTTAAAATTTATTACACCAATGGAAAGCTTTGGATGTTAGCTTTGTCACAGTATATATTTCAAAACTTTTTTGAGACCAAAGTATTTACATTAACTACTAAACCTAGCATATGTCAGACCATTTTACATAGTAAGTGGCTAGCCGTATGGGCCCGCAAGCTGTCTCATATTTTCGGAAATTTTGATTGGATGACCTTGTTTCGGTAGTTACGTTCCACGTGCTCAAATTCTATGTACGTGACTCACATACGGCTAGAACTTTTGGCTAGCCGTACAGGCCCGTACCGCTAGCCACTTCCTTTTATCGATACATATGATAATGGATTTATACAGTGAGATACGCAACCGATTATCTTTACTTGAAAAACTACTTATTAGAAAAGCCTGACATCTGCTAGTTCAGAAAGTGTTTATCAGTGTATTTAGACAATAATGAATCCTAGTCAGATGATCATGACATCATGCATGTCATGCCAGACCTTCCCCACCCACACTCTTTCAACATTGATATTCATATTTCAACATGTTTTAATTTAAAACCGGCGAATTGTTTTCTCGGAATACGATAAAAGGAAAAAAATACCTTTAATTTAACGTTAAATAAATGTTTTCTTGCGATAAACTAAAGTTGTTTTTCTGATGTGGCAGCGGGTCTTTCAAGCGCTTGCAATTCTCTGATTAGTAATTTCCGGCGCCAGACTACAACTGAGTTAACAAATTTTAGGCTGTACACTACTAAATACATACATGCGATAATTTTATGAGGCTCATTATTATGCCTCAAATGAAACTAGGCATGTTTGTTTAGATGAGTTGAAATGAATCTTCTTTAAAAGATGGGAGTTTTGCTGATAAATGCAAGGGGTTTGCCTAAAATATGAAAGTGAGATTTTTGACGAAAGTGAGCGAAAGTGACTTTAAAAATTTGAATTGTATCACTGTTTTAATAGAATTTTACAGTAAAATTGCTGTTTGTAGACGTATATTATTAGCAACTAATTATATATGTTATAATAAATAACCGTAATCATGATTTAATCGCCATTTATTAGCCTAAACTTTAAAAAACAAGTTCAGCGATCTTCCTTTCGCTGGCATAGAAAATTACGAAAGTGACTTCGTATACATATATAATTGACTTGACTTCATGAAAGTCAAGACACCCCAAGACCACCCCGAGACACTTTAACTGACATGTAAATACGTTTTAATTTTACCTTTTTTAAATATAGAGTTT